TTCTATAGATAAAATCGTCAAATCACTCAATCTTTCTTGTGACATACTCGAGCGAAGATATAGTTTTATCAATTTCAACTTTAAAAAACTTCTTTCAGACTGAAATCGTCGACAATATTCAATAAGTGATCCATGAGTTGGAATAAAAACCTTGCCGCTCTTCAAAAAGTCTAACACTTTAATAGGCTTCTTTACTTTTTTGGGTAAAGCTTCTCTTAAAACTTTTAGTTTAGAAAAGAGATCATTACCGATAATGTCTGAATGCTCTCCATGGGTTAAAGATTTTTCAAAGTTGGTACAATATGCCATCAAACTATCATCACTCGCTGACTGCAGCTTTCTCAAATTGAACAAAAAACCAAATATTTGTTTATACTTCTGGAACTGCTCAAATCGTGTCTCAAATAAGTATAAAGCTTGATCATGATTTGGATGAAGTATTCAACTCTAAAGCTCTCCTCAATGATAATACCACACTTCCTTCAACGTTTTGTGATTCTTCACCATTGTGTCGTTTCCTTTTAATGACCCGTTTTGTTTTTTTGGGGAATACAACATCAACTTCCATAGAATCTGCTATTGTTTTAGCTTCTGATTTTGCTTTCGCAAAGCCTGAATATCTATACTTCTGAAAATAAGAAACCAACACTTTCAACTGAGCAATAGCTAAATTAATGTCCATGTCTTCAGACTGCAAACTCTTACTAACAATATTAACCACAGAAGAAGATCATACCAAATAACCATGGAAACCAATAACTGAAAACTTCCAATTCCATGCGTTTCACTTGTTGCAAGACATTCAGCTTCGCTTTGCTCCTTCGGATCATCGCTATTTTCAGCAATGTAGATTAAAGCATCCATGATTTTCGAAGCCTGAAATCTTATTGCTTTTAACACTTTCAGTATGACTCTCCTAACGAGTGTGTTAAATTTACGTAGCTTCTATTACTATTTCATTTGATTTCTTATCTTTTTAAAATAAAAAATTATATTATACTCATATACAATCTCATTATAGATCGAGAATTTGAGACCAGAAATAAAATGAAAAAATAACTGGATAAAAAATAAATTATAATAAGTTGAAACAAATATGAATAAGAAGTAGAAGTAAAAATAAAAATAAACCTCTACAGTTTTGTTTTTCCATAAAACTCTCGTGCTTTGTTTTATGCGGTCATTTAAAAATGAAGCAATGTTATATTCAACGCATGTGCGGATAAAATTTTAAAATGAACACATTCATGTAAGCACACGATAAGAAATTTATGTTTTCATCAATCAAATTCCTCAATATTGGACGAAGAGATGAGCGGAAAGCTATCAGAGGATTGTATAAAAATGCTTTCAAAACTTTTATAACATATATTTATTATAATTTTTATTGAAAAAGAAAATTAATAACAGATTATCCAATGTACTATATACATTTTCATGATAAAGTTAAATATTATTTTTTGGTTTTTAAAAGATTTGTAATAATTTTTAATATTTGATATAACTTTTAGTTTGAAACCAGATATCATAAAACGCTAAAAATAAGAAATTTTGATTAAATACAAAACGATAGAAATGGTTTCGGTGATTGTTGTTAAACGCCAAAAACTGCATCGTGTAAAAAGTAACATTTGCAGAAAATATTAGAAAATTAACCAACACCTAAATATTATAATTCAGTTAACACATAGTTACATGCATAAATATACATAAATATTTTTAAAATTCAACCATACATTATAAATATATATATTACAAAGCATATACTTTGTTAATTTTTTAGCACATAAAAGCTATACTTCAATTTTCCACAAATATGCATATAGATATAAATACTAATTGTGCAAAAGTTGAAGTCGCATGTGAATTTGTCGTGCATGCATTTTGTTAATCTTGATTGCAGTTCAAAATTAATTTTAGTTATTAGACAATTTATATTTTTTTAAACAAATCTTTCTTATGATAAGTAAAGATGGTAAAACCCATTTTGGTATAACTAGAAATAAGTCAAGAAAAAAATATAAACTTTAAAATTTATACATTGGCAAGATTATATTGTATAAGGGGAAAAAACATAGTATAGATAATAATCAAAACATATTATAAGAATTAATTATTATTTAATATAACTTTTACATGTGCTATCATATTATTAATTGATAAGTAAGTTGGGATGTGGTTGAGAGTTATTATGGTTGATTACTTTTTGTTCCTCATATGAATTTACTCTAATTATACTTAATAAAATTAATTACACTAAATCGTGTGTTTTAGTATTAATCTAGTTATTTTATTAATATTTCTTAATATCTAAACCGTAGGTTATTAACAGGTTATTAACTTTATAATAAGATTAAAAATCGACTAAACCAAATTGATTTTAAGTTTTTGACTGCAACTAAAACCCTTAGATCTATACAGGGGCGGACCCACGTAGAGAAAAGGGAGGTCACCTGACCTACCATATCTATTAAATTTTAAAACCTTAAGCTTGAACAATAAGATAAACGTAGCTCAGTTGGTTAATATTCTGCTGGTAAACCTCCCAACCCTGAGCTCGATTCTCCTTCAGTGTTCTGATATTCGACTTTTTTTGTTTATTTTATAACAATAATATTATTTAATTATATTATAATTAATTTATGACATATGTCAAAATATTTTCTGGGACCTCCACTGGATCTATATATATTAGAGCAAAGTTTTACGAACAAGATAAAACCTATACTCATATAGGTAAGCTAATCATGTCATTGCAGTAAAGTTAAAATTGGTGATAAGGTTAAGGTCTAGAGAGAAGGATTTGATTTCTAAGATGTTTGTCTCTTAACATTAAGTAAAGTTCCATTTTATAATGAAGTGTAAATAATTTCAATTTATTGTGGTTTTTGCAATGACTAGAAATATGAGTTAAAGATATATACACTAATCACGGTTGGTTTGTAGTACGTATATGCTAAAGCCAGTTTTACTCACGATCAATTATAAGTTTCTATTTCAAAAATAATATTGAAACTAGGTTTGAAAATTTTGATAACAGATAAACACCAAAAACCATAGCATAAAAAAATTAATGTTGTCGATGATAAAGTTTACCAAAATATTTAAGTGTAATTGTACACTTTGAATTTGTTAATTTAAAATTGAAAAATCATCTAAAATATTTGCTAATTGAAAAATTATATCTACTCTATTATTTGTTATGTTATATATCTTTCTTTTTGTTATTACATATTAAATTCATTCAATATATCATATGATTACAATGTTTGTTAATATTATTATGAAACTATATTATTGATTTAGTATTAGAAAATTTATTTATCTGTGCTGGCGCGGACGGACATCTAGTTATATGTTATTGTAAACGCTAGAAAAATACAAAAATTTTAAATTAAATTAGTATCAAAAGACACAAAACAATATGATATATTGTGCGATTGTTATTAAAAACACTAAACTTGCATATGTATACAAACATAACGTTTATATAATGTATAAGAAAATTAATTAATATATAAATATATAATTAATTATGTCTATAAAAAAATTATACTGCACATACGTGCGAGCCAATTAACTAGTTATGTATTAAAGTAGAAATATTGGAGATAATTTTTACTGATATGTTAACACTACAATTTTTCTTAGTTTTTTTTTAAATAATATACTAAATTAAATGGGGTATCTGCTGACTACCTAAAGTGCAAGCTCTTTCCAATCTCTTTGGCTGACAAAGCGCAAAGATGGCTCAAATCTCTTCCTCCTGCATCTGATTTTTTGGATCACTTCTACACTAAATCCAAGACAGTTTTGCTAAAAAACAAGATCACTACCTTCCACCAATATTTAGGAGAGTCTTTCTCTAAAGCTTGGAAGGGATTCAAAGAGTACCGTAGAGAATGCCCTCATCATAGGTTTTCAGATGAGCAGCTGCTTAGCTTCTTCTACGATGGAGCTGAATGAGAATATAAGAACAACCTCAATGCTGCAAGCAATGGAGATTTCATGACCAAGAGTATTGCAGGAGCATACCAATTGATAGAGAACTTGGCTGCAAATTCCAACAATCGCTGTCTGGAGTATGATAGGTCTAGACGTGTCAGCAATGTTGAATCACAGAAGATTGATGAGTTTACTGCAAAAGTGAATCTTCTGTTGAAAAGAGACCAGAGAGGTGTGCAGTTCTGTGAGGAGAGAGAATATGCAGTTTTCTGTCAGAATTTTGCTGCAAATGAGACTGATGAACTGCAGGAAGTCAATTATGTGAATGGAAAGAAATTCACACAAAAAAGAAGATTCAACCAAAACTACAGATTTCAGAGTGGATCTCAGCAAATCCAGCCTTTTAACACATTCCAGACAATAGCATCAGCTCCGTTCTAACCTCCTGCGAGCTCTGAAAATATGAACTTAAGGCCTTAATGCAGCAGCTCCTACTCAACCAACAAGTCTGCTAATGAGATTAATATTATATTTGGCAAACTTTAAAACAAAGAAAAAGAAATACTCTACATTTGGCAAATCAAGTTTATTCTCTTTGTATTAATGTACGAGATAGAGAAATAAATTAGCTTGCGTCAAACTGAGATCATTTGTATGATAAAAATTGTGTGTCAAGCAACATTTTTTTCTTGGTCAAGAACTTTTCAAGCAACATTTGTAGAAAGAAATGTAGCTGCAATCCGAAACCTCCGACATTATCATAACTTACTCCAACTCAAGTTTTCTAAAAGGCTTGTCACGACTTTGTGCAGACATAAAGAATTACTTTTTCATCAAGTAACATACTTTCATGTTTTTGAAATGGGTTGTCCTATCAACCACACTCTGTTGAGACACAAAAATATATCAAGTAACTTTGACTTTAACCCATTTGTTCAACGAAAGCAAGGAAGTCCACTACAAAGTACTACAAAAGGTTCGGACCCAAGACACAAACACGACACTTACTAAACAAGCACAGAATTAAACTAAAAATTTCTGAGAACACAAGAACATCAAACAACATCATCGAACGAGAAAGCAACATTTGAAGCCGACACATCTGCATCCTCCTTCTCCATGAGAGCCTTCAGGTCTAAACATTTCTGATTGAGTTTCTGCAACTCTTGCTCCATTTGTTGCAGCCGAGCCTTACCAGTGTCCACTTTCTTCTTATTTTCCTTGACTTCCTCAAGCTTCTTCTCCAACCAATCCACAGTAAAGCCTCCCTTTGCCATGTATGACAATGCAACAGAAGCCTCACCAAGATCATCATCAGAGAGCTCTTGAGGAGACTGGCAAAGCGTTTCAATTGCTCCAAGGAGAACATTCAAGTATGCTGACTTCAGATGCCGATTCTTAGAGCGGAGTTTTGATGCAATGTCTGGATTTTTATCAAATAAACGTCTCACAGATTCCTCCTGCGAGTAAAAAAAAAATACCAAGTTTATGGAAATATATACACACTGGTATTCTCCAACAACTTAAACACAAAAACCAAGAAACTGAAGGATATTTACAATTTGGTTACATATCTTTCCTCAAATTAAGTGTCCGATACTCGATGGTTTTTTTTTTTTATGGCAGAACACATAACCTATAATATATAAAATTATCTACTATCCAGGATGAGATTTTCTTTAAAGAAAATAATCAAGAGGTGGGCAAGAAATCTTAAATTTCCTACCTGTGTTGGAGAAATTTGAAAGCCATCGACTACACTTTCATTCAGTTTCCTTTTTTTCATAATGGGTTGTGATGAGTTCTCAGCTACATCAAACTCGCCAGTTACTTCTAGAACCTCAACCTCTACAAAAATCTTTACTTCTTCATTTATAAGAAACCCACTGTCTTTGGCATAAAGTTCAGCGAGGGGAAGCATTATTGGGGGTCCCAAGATGGGATTCTTCTGATCCAACGACACTTGTGATTCTGTAAAAATCATGAAACATAATGCTGATATTAGTCAAAACACCTCAAGTCCCATGAGTCCATGACAAGTAAAAATCATAAAAAATCACCTTGCACTTTGGATCGCTCTTCGGAAATCTGATTTATAACATGAAAGCGAATGTTTGCGCGTCTTCTCCATCCAGAAGGCAAAGATTTAGAATCAGCGACAACCAGATACAGAGACAAACTGTTCTTATCGGTAGATCCCTTGGGATAGGCCATAAGACGCCTGCAGGCAAAAACCATTGGAAATAATCGGTGCCTTACTCGTGAACGTGCATTGGAAGAAAGATTAGAACTTAGAAAACAAAATCTGTTTTCTTACCATTTGTAGCGATCGAGCACGAATATATCAGAAAAGATTTGTGAAGATGGCAAAGAGGAGAAATTCTTAATCACCCAAGTGAACTTTTTATCAGCTTCATTCCCCATTGAAGACTCCTGAGCCTCAAGAGAAAAGAAGCGAGTGTCACACAACCATATTTACAAACTTAAAAACGAACAAAAGGCAGTCTCAAGTAACAAAGAATCCACTAACACACCACTCTTAATCAACTATTGCTTGCTACCCTTCAGAGACATGACGAGAAGTGAAGCCCTAAGACTCGATATACACACCCAAATTTGTCTATCGAACAATCAAACAGCAATTTCAGCAAAACCAATATGAGATTTAGTGTTTACTATTTACCAAAAGCAGTTCAGGCCTTCAGGGTTTGCTATAGGAGAGTCACGTTGAAAGAGGAAACACTTCAAACAGAGAAGCCACTGTTTTAAAGGGGAATGGGAAGCGTGTTGATTAGTATTTTGATATTTTCTATGACTTTAAAGTTTAAACCAATAGTAATTTAAGAAATTTAATTATTCCCTATGTTCTTTAAAATTAATGTTTTAGAATAATAAATTGTTTTAAAAATATATTTTCTGTTTTCAATGTATTCTTTTATCAGTTAATGATGATAAATTGTAAATTTCAAAAAAAGTAGTTGAATTTATTGAATTACTATTAATTTAAATTTATAGGAAATTGTTAATTACAAAAAATAATGTATTTATAATCAAAATTTAATATATCATATATGTAAAAATTCTAAAATACTCCCTCCATTTTTTTATATATGATGTTTTAGAGATTATTTTTTGTTCAAAAATACTTAATGTTCTTATATATCTATGTAAAAATTAATTGTATTTTTATTGTTATTTACAAATAGTTGATGTTCTCATATATGGGCAATACTGCTCCAGCAGAGAAGCCACCGTTTTATAAGAGAAAGTGAATCGGTCGTGTTGATTAGTAGGAGCACTAGAGGAATGCCTATCGATATTTATTTAATAAGGATTTATTTGGTAGACGATGACCAATAGAAATACTATATATATATAGTATATACAGTATATGGTAAACTTTAAAACAAACAATAGTATATATATTTGCAAATCAAGTTTATTCTCTTTGTATTAACGCATGACACGAGAAAGAAAGAAATTAGCTTGCGTCAAACTGAGATCATGTCTTGCGAGCCACTTAAGACATAATACAAGAGATAAGGAGAGGATCGTTGCGACTAAAAACTCTGGCATTATCATAAGCCAGTTTTACTTATGAGACCTGAAAACAGACCCATCATACAATTTAAGTTTTCCAAAAAGCTTGTCTTATTCACAACTCTATTCATACATAAATAATTACTTTTTCTTCAAGTAACCTACTACAATTTCGATTTTTCATAACAGGGCTTTGTCCTATCAACCATACTCGGTTCAGGCACCAAGAAATTACGTTTTCATCGAGTAACTTAGGTTTAAACCATTTGTTCAACGAAACTAAGACACCACGACTACACCAACTAACCAAGCACATAACTAAGCTAGAAGTTTCTGACAGTAGAAAAACATCAAAAATCATCATCAAACGAGAGACGAACATTGGCAGCTGAAACATCTTCCTTCTTCTTCTTCACAAGAGCTTTCAGGTCTAAACATTTCTGATTATATTTCTGCAACTCTTCCTCCATTTGTTCCACAGAAGCCTTACCAACGTCCACTTTCTTCTTCTTTTCTTTTACTTCCTTAAGCATCTTATCCAACCAATCCACTTTAAATCCTACATTTGCCACGTTTGACACTGCAACAGATGCTTCTTTCAAATCAGCATCAGATAGCTCTTGTGGGGCCTGGCACAGCGTCTCAATTATTCCGAGGAGGAGATTCATGTATGTTGACTTCAGATGCCGATTCTTAAAAATGAATGTGGATGAAAAGTCTGGGTATCTTTTAAATATACGCCTCAAAGCTTCCACCTATGAATGGTAAGCAAATATTATGAACCATATCGTAGAAAGGTTTTAAGAAACATATATAGTACATAGCTTTATCTTGTGCAACTTAAATCCAGAAACTGTTCTTTCTTTGAGCATCTCCGAGTTTGCAAATGTTTCACTTAAGCATCAGAGATAAGCAAAATGTCACTAACCTGTGAAGGAAGAACTTGAAACCCATTGACATCAACAGTTTCATCTAATACACCTAATGAGCTTATAACTTCATGAGCAACCGCTTCGACAAGAATCATTACTTCTCCATTTACCAAAAATCCTCCATCTTTTGCTAGAAGTTTGGAAGGAGGGAGTACGGTTGGATATAAAAGATGCATGGGAGACTTCTCATCAAAGTAAAGCTCTGAATCTGTAGCATACATTGCATTACAAACAAGTTTTTGCAAAATACATAAATAGAATCTACCAGTAGCACAAGTCCCGCGACGCAGTGATAAAAACAAGAACATTTTTTTGTGTGTGTAAGAACTGAAAATGATTTAGAAGCAAGAATCTTTGCAATATCATTCACAAAAATCAACCCAAAGAGAGAGAGCAGACAAGATATAGAATCACCTGTCACTATAGAGAGTTTTTCAGATAATCGATTAACTATAGTTAAGCGAAGTTTAACATGTTTTCTCCAATCAGAAGGCAATGATTGAGAATCTGTTACACCCCGATACTGATACAAGAGCTCAAGGTTCTCTCCGTTGAGAACGGCATTAAGACGCCTGCAGAAGAAAAAGAAAAAATGAGACTGAAAAATTGAATCACCATAAAAGGACTAAAAAACATACTATTAGAAAAAAAAAGTTCAAGTTTTTTACCATTGACATCCAACAATCAGAAATGGATCTGAAAAGCAGTTATATGATAAACAGATGGGATATTTTATCACCCATGTGAAGTTTTTTTCAACTTGCTTCTCCATTGATGTGATGATGATGTTGATTTACTTGATTCTCCAACGCTTTAAACAACTTAAACAGAGAAAAGGAACACGTTCTGCATAAATGGACTATAAATTTTGAAGTTCTTATTTTGAATATTGAAAGAAATAGAGAATGCGAAAAGTTTAAAACTTTTTAGTTAACGTAACATTTTGGCTTCCCAAAAGCGCATGGGGAACAATGATCTGAAGAACTATTGGTGCATGCAAAGGCATGTTTTTACTCGTTGGTGGGATTTAATCATCTAAACCGTAGATTCTCAATAATATTTTAGCAAAAAAACAAAAATGAGATTATCAGATTCGTTAATAAAGACCAATCTCCGAGACTCTCTGTTTCCTAACAAAAAGTTCGAAAACAGGGTACAATAACGAAACTGAATCAAGTAATACCCGAACATATAGACGTGTCAAAGAATCAGATTAGGTAATATTTACTGCTCATCCCGGAGTTTGAAGTCAATCTTCTTTGCTTCCTTGTTGTTGACATGCATAGTAGACAGTTGATCCACATTCACTATTTGCCCAACCACATTTATTTTGAAGAAAATAGCTATAGTTAGATAAAAATGACTGATAAGATTATTTAGATTGAATATAAAATTTTGTATCGTACCACACAAAATGCTCTGATTCTGTTTGCCATTATGAATTTGATTGAAAGGAACTAAATCCAAGTATTCGAACTCTGATACCGTAACAGAATTAGTCACAATAGTATCTTTGACAAAACTAAAATGGTAACAGTGTTTGATAGTCCTATATTGACCGATAGAATGGCTAAGGTTAAGCTCCTCAATGAACTTCCAGTTTCCTGCGGAGAGATATTTTTCATATCTTTTCAGATGCTGTTTTTTGATAGAACAGTGAATTTTCGTACCCTAAAAGAAATAGTGAATATATTAGATAACAGTAAAAATTTGTAAAATATTGTAAGCACTTAAAAAAGTTATAAAATAAGGAGTGAATATATCATACCTCTTTGTCTGCCAAAACCATTTTATTTGATTCTCCTGATGCGAAAGCAAACTGCTTCCATATGTGCAGGATTTTGACATGAATCCTCCAACTGAATTTGAAGGGCTTAATACTTTGAACAGGGGTAACTGGAAATTTGGAAGCCATGCTACCTTTCAGCGTTAATAAAGTTATGATCTTTACGATAAGCTCTTTAAGCAATTGTTCCAAAGAAGCATTTGTTTTACATTTATACTAAAGTCATATAGGTTTTTTAAGCAGTTCTTTCATTGACATTTCTTTTTCAAATATTTTTATGGCTGTAACGATATGAGAATATTATAATAATTATGAGATTTTTCAGATCTTTTAATTATGAATTTGAATGTTAGGTAGTTATTCGGGAATGTAGGATACTGTGATATTATAGTTTCCATATAAACGTGTAGCAGTTGCCAAAATTTTGTCATATATTGAGATTTATGAATATCTTTGATTTATGACAAACATACATTAGATTATGAGTTAATCTTAGATAGTTAGCAAGAATTTAGGATTTATTAGAACTCACGGATTCAATATATTATGTCAGTTGCCATATTTTTAGTGAAAGATATTCTGATACTTTATGATTTTTGATTTTGATCGAATTTTCAGAAACCGATGCTTCCTTAAATTTTGATTAATCCGGTTTAATTTAAATAATTCAGGATCCGCGTTATTTCAAATGGACTATTGGATCGGATTTTCTTGTTTGGACACACTCGAGTTAAGAAAAGTGAGTTAACTCACTGAACTCGCCAACTTTGTCCCTAAATAAATCTATTGCCAAACACTATTTGTTATAAACTGCAATGACATTTTTCATAATAACAATCAATTTTTTGAGTACCTCAAAAATATATTTCTCAAATAATATTATAAAAATAAATTAAATTGTTTAAAATCTATATTTTAATAACACACGATTTTAATAGAATCATAAAATTTTTAAAAGCTAAACTTTTTAAATAACAAAAAATTCTAGATGAAATTTTAAAACTTTTAAACCAATAAAAATGAATTATAATAAAATTTTAAAAATCAATAAATTAGTAATGATATGGAATCTCAAAATTCTCAAAATCTCGATAAATCTCTCTCCCAATACCAGTAACTCCCCTAAATAAAACTGATTCACTGTGCAAATATTTAATTGATAATTGATGATGGCATGTCGTCGACCACCAACTTCCCTAAACTCTCTGTCTATGCCTCTAATTATAAAAGACTTTCCCTCTCCTATCGCTTCTGCATTTTATGAGATGCGTTACCAAAAAAATTAAAATCACAAAAGCTTATGATGGAGAATAGGAAGAACGATGGAGTTATTGGAGAAGAAGAATGTTCCATTGACGGTGACATTCTCGCCTCTATCCTCTCCAATTTGCCGCTCCTCGACCTCTATTCCGCCTGCCAGGTGTCCAAATCCTGGAACCGCGCCGTCTTCTTCTCCCTCCGCAACCTTAAGACCATGCCGTGGTTGTTAGTCTACACACAGAGGATTATGCCGCCGTTCATCATGGCGGCGATGGCGTACGATCCAAAGTCCGATGAGTGGATCGAGCTCAAAACCGCATCTCGCGTTAAACACCTGTCCGTCTATGGATCCTCCCACTCGACGTTGCTCTACTCGCTATCGCCGAAAAGATTCTCCTTCTCGGTCGACGCGTTTCACCTGAATTGGCGACACGTGGCACCGACGAGAGTGTGGAGGGTCGATCCAATCGTCGCCGTCGTGGGACGGAGCCTGATCGTGGCCGGCGGCGTGTGGCAATTCGCAGACGATAAACTCGCCGTCGAGTTGCTTGACCTTGACATCGAATCCGGCGGCGTCTGGGAGAGATGCGAATCGATGCCGGGATCCCTCTTGGGATCCCCGTCCTCCACGTGGCTATCCGTCGCGGTGAATTCGGAAAAGCTGTACGTGACGGAGAAGAGATCCGGCGTCGCGTGTTGTTTCGATCCAGAGACTAGATCGTGGACGGAGCTTCTCGATTTCTCTCCCGGCGACTGTAAGTTGTACTCCCGCGAGATTGGATTCGCCGGTAACCGTCTAATCATGGCTGGGATCACCGGAGATGAGGATATTCCGACGGGAATCAAACTGTGGGAAGTAGCAGTATCCAACGAATCGCCGATGAATTTGAAATTCGAGTCGATTGGATCCATGCCTAAGGCGTTTTTCGATAAACTCAGAGTGATCGATACTGATCGGCCGCTAACGTCGATAGCGTTTAACGCGGTGGGAGATATGGTTTACATTCGTGATGCAGCGGAGACCGGAGAGATTGTGGCGGCGGAGATAGAAGGAGGAGGAAAGCTTTGCAGATGGAGGACTCTGACCAATCAGAATAAATGTGACGCAACAGAGAGGCTTATCGTTGCGTGCTCAAAGGTGAGTTTTAGCGATTTGAAACGCGCGTTAAAGGATAATTTGAGTTTCTCTGTGGTGTCACGGACACGACAGGTGTGAACGTGGTTTAGATGATCTTTGAATTTGAGATGATGCGAGAACTATTCATGTCCTTTAAACACAAAGTTCCAAGTCAATTTCGTTGTTAGGCTAATGATGTGATGATGATGTTGTTGATTACTAGCTTCAACGCCTTAAACAACTTAAACAGAGAAAAGGAACAAGTTCTTATGATCCTTTACATGAGACATCAAAAAAAGAAAGTGATTCACACCTACAAGGTTACAAGAACATTTGCAAATCCGCAAATAACATCGTTGAAACGCGAGAGGAGATCTTGCAGCCACAGTTTTCTTGACCACGACTCCTCAAGTGCCACTCACTTTTTCTCATACACAAAAGAGCTTTTAGCTTCAAAATTCATGAGCATGCGACTCGATACTTCGTAAAATATGATAAACTTTCGAAAATTTAGTCAATGAACTCTCCAAGATCCTCTGTTTCTTGCTCATGCACAGTGGTTTAGTTGCTTTTTTTCTTTGTTAGTAAAGGAAAACGACAACAAATGTGGTAGCCGAAACTTTGATAGACTATCAATAACACAAGTTCAATAACAATGGAGAAATTAAGAAAGCAGAAAACCAAAAAGCCTAAAAAACAGAAGTCATCAAATCAAACAAGGTCATCGAAAGACAGAGCAGTTCTGGTGACTGACAACTCTGACTTCTCCTTCTCTGCAAGAGCATTTAGGTCTAAACACTTTTGCTTCAGCTTCAGTAGATCTTCCTCTATTTCTTGGAGCCTGGCCAAACCAGACTGCTCTTTCTCCTTGTTTTTCTTTAGTTGGTCCAGCTTGTTCTCCAACCAGTCCACCTTAAAGCCTGCGTCTTTCAAGTATGTGAGCGCAATGTCTGCTTCCACAAGATCTTCATTGGATAGCTCATCAAGCGACTGGCACAACGTCTTGATTAAGCTTAGAAGGAAACTCATACAAGCGTTCCTAAGATGTTGGTTTTTTGCACGGAACTCGGAAGCAATGTCTGGGTGTTTTTGGAATATACGTCTCACAGATTGTACCTGGAAGTCAAAACAGATGTACAAAAGAAGATAAATCTAGGTTTCAGAGTCGAACTTTCTCTTTAATAGTAACAATAGAGAGATGAATCCTTTTCTTACCTGGGAAGCCAAAACCTCAAAGCCATTGACATCCATTGTCTCCTTTACAGGTTGAATCTCCTCAAGCACATTGTTACAAGTCTCAGTAACAGACCCCTTATCACCATTCTCTATTGTATGAGATGCATCCTCCAAGGACTTCACTTGGTCTAGGGAAGTTCCGTTTGTAGCATTATCTTCGGTAACAAGAGATGCAGCCTCGCCATCAACATCTTCTTTAGGTGCACCATTGTTGTCACCATCTGAAACAGGAGCTGAAGCATCATCATCATCTGAACCCTCTTCAAACGTGTCATCATCATCACCTGTACCCTCTTCAGATGAATCATCATCATCAACACCTGTACCCTCTTCAGATGCATCGTCATCACTACCATCATCATTATCAACATTCTCAGTTTCTTGCGCCACTTGAGACGTGTCATCATCATCACCTGTACCCTCTTCAGATGCATCGTCATCACTACCATCATCATTATCAACATTCTCAGTTTCTTCCGCCACTTGAGACGTGTCATCATCATCACCTGTACCCTCTTCAGATGCATCATCTTCCACATTCTCTTTAGATGAATTCTCAGTTTCTTGCGCCACTTGAGACGTGTCGTCATCGTCCTCCGCACCCTCTTTAGATGCATCAACATCAACAGTCTCGACTTGAGATTTGGCGAGAGATTCAATAGCAGCTCGAAGTGCTGCAAAGCTATATGACGATGCACTAACCTTCACATGTTCCACTGGAAGAACGTGTACTTGAGACGTGTCATCATCATCATCATCCACACCCTCTTCAGATGCATCCTCATCCTCATCATCATCATCATCCACACCCTCTTCAGATGCATCCTCATCCTCATCTTCATCATCATCCACACCCCCTTCAGATGCATCCTCATCCTCATCCTCATGATCCTCATCGTCATCAACATTCTCGTTACATGCATTCTCAGTTTCTTGCGCCACTTGAGACGTGTCATCATCATCATCATCTGCACCCTCTTTAGATGCGTCAACATCAACAGTCTCGACTTGAGATTTGGCGACAGGTGCATAAACACCTTGAATCGCCTCTCTCAAAGATAGAGACGATGCAGTAATCTTCACAGGTTCCACTGGAAGAACTTTAACTTGAGCGATGATAACGAGTCTTCTATCCATCAGAAACCCTCCAAGAAGTTTGTAGAGGGGCAAGAAATTACCAAAACCCCAACTGTTTTTCTTTGCATCGAAACAGCATTCCCCTCCTAGAAAAAAAAAAAAAAAAATCGAAACTTTTGCATTAAAAAAAACTCAATCTTTGCAAATACAGAGATTCTACAGCTTTCCCCATAGAGCTTAGCTTAATATGACAAAACAACAATCACCTGCTACTTTGTTCCAGTTAGGAGAGTTCGTATTCACAAGAGTGAGTGTAAATTGCACGTTTCTTCTCCATCCTATTGGTGAAGATTCAAGCGCAAGTTTCAGATACACGGATAAGTAGTGAGTACCATCACGGTAGAAACTGGGATAAGCAGTAACACACCTGTACAAAAACACAATTAAGTAATTATCTAAATTCAAGAAAACAATAATAATAATAATAATAATAATAATAATAATAATAATAATGATTGTAATTACCAATCGCTGCCGGCGACGACGAAGCGGGGAGAGTAGTGCACCGTCTGATCCCAAGAAGAGAAGTCATCCAAAACCCAAGTGAATTTCTTCTCAGTGCGCATACCATGATCCATGTTTTCCACAGAGCTCACGAACAATCAAAACCCTAGAGTATGGTTATTAGTTGAAAGAATGGGAAAAAGATTAGCTTTGCTTTCACCGTATTTATAGCTGAAATTGTTCAAATTTAACTGACTGAATACAAACCGAACCAATTTAATTTTGGTTTACATTGGTCTTTTTACCCTCAATTCCGGTTCGATTCAGATTACAACAAAGCCGATTATATGATGGGCCTAAATATAAAGAAGGCCCATATTTAAGATCCAGAGTTGAGCCTACCTAAAGACGGTTTAATTTGAGGATTAAGGGAGGGAGGCTTGTCATCCAAGTAAAGCTCTGATAAAAGCAACATACAAATTTTAAATATGCTCTGTAAAACATTTTATCCATATAGTTTAAGTAATATCGAGTTAAACACTTCATGAAAAATGGAAAGAAATTTCAAGAATGATCCATTAATTAACAAAACCAACACAACACAAACTTGACCAATATAGAGTTCCAGTCCAAACAAACTCGAGCTTAGAAGTTTCATACTAAAACATCAAGTTTCCCTTTTTGTCTAAGGTAGCCGAAACTTTAACAATACGAGATGATCCCTAAAAACTGAAGCCATCAAATCAAACAAGATGATCCAAAGACAGAGCGGTTCTGGTGGCTGACAACTCTGACTTCTCCTTCTCTGCAAGATCATCCATCTCTGAACACTGTAGCTTCAGTTTCGCTAGACTTTCCTCTATTTCTTGGAGCCTGACCAAACCAGACTTCTCTTTCTCCTTGTTTTCCTTTAGTTGGCCCAGCTTCTTCTCCAACCAGTCCACCTTAAAGCCTGCTTCTTTCAAGTATGTCAGCGCAATGTCTGCTTCCACAAGATCTTCATTTGAGAGCTCCTCAAGTGACTGGCACAACGTCTCTATTAAGCTTAGCATGAAACTCATACACGCTTGCCTCATTCGTTGATTTCTTGCTCGGAAATCAGCAGCAATACCTGGATGTTTTTCGAATATACGTCTCACAGATTCCACCTGCGAGTCAAAACAGATGTACAAAGCACTTTTGTGATCATTTTTCCATCTTCTGTATCTTTTCCACAAGAGCTCACGAACAAAACAATAAGAGATTGGTCCGGTTATTACTTTCTCTCTTAAGAAAAACAATAGAGAGATGAATCCTCTTCTTACCTGAGAAGAAGAAACCTCAAAGCCATTGACATCCACTGTCTCCTTTACAGGTTGAATCTCCTCAAACACATTGTTACAAGTCTCAGTAACAGGAGATGAATCTTCGTGATAAGCAAAGTTTCTTACCTGTGGAGGAAGAACATGAAACCATGACTTTGACCTAGTGTGCCAATAACTAGATGAGCAACCACCTCAACAACAATCATTACTTCTCCATTTACCAAAAACCCTCCATCTTTTGCCACAAGTTTAGGAGGCAGTACGGTTGGATACATACGCATGGGAGACTTCTCATCAAAGTTAAACTCTGAATCTGTAGCAGCAGAACAATAACTTTCTTTTGTTTAATAACTGAAAACTGATTTAGAAGCAAGAACCCTTTGCAACCATTCACCAAAATGAATCCAAAGAGAGAGCAGAGAAGAAATAGAAATCACCTGTCACTGTAGAGAGTTTTTCAGATAGTCGATTAACTATTGTTAAGCGAAGTTTTACATATCTTCTCCATCTAGAAGGCAATGATTGAGAATCTGCTACACCTTGATACTGATACAAGAGCTCAAGGTTCTCTCTCTTAAAGGCTTTAAGACGCCTGCAGAAACAAAAACAAAAAACAAGCGTTACACTGAATCACCATAAGTGCATAAATGAAGTAAAAAACATATTAGAAAAGCAAAGGTTCAGATTTTTTACCATTTACATCCAGCAATCAGAAATGGATCAGAAAAGCAGTTATCTGATAAACAGATGGGATATTTTATCACCCAGGTGAAGTTTTTTTCAACTTGCTTCTCCATTGATGTGATGATGATGTTGATTACTTGCGTTCCAGATAAAGGGTTTTATCAGAGAGAGAATGCGAAAAGTTTAAAACTTTTAATTACGTTGAAACGTTTTGGATTCCCAAAAAGCGCATAGGGAACATTATCTGAACAAGAGTAACAATTGCTGCATGCGAAGGCATGTTTTTACTCTTTGGTGGGATTCAGTCATTATCAGTCAAATAGAGCGAGCTTTTATACGGAAAAAGATTTATCTTTCCCTACAAAAATTCGAAAACAGGGTACTCTGTTTCTAACACAAATCTTCTTCACCTTGTTCTACCTCATCTACTATACAGTCATATATACTCAAATCTGCACCTCCTTGCCTATGAATCCTTTACTTGAGACTTGTTATGAGACATCAAAATAAAGCGACTCACTTACAAGAATCCTTGCAAATCAGCAAAAGTAAATCGTTGAACGAGAGAGGAGCTCTCGCAGTCAAAGCCTCAGCTTTTTTTCATCACGCAGCTGAGTTTCAAGATCCAAGAACATCTGCTTCAGTTTCAAGTGTTCCATGGCATTTGGATAATCCAGAACTGGTAAGAATTTGTAATCAGTTTCAAGTGTTCCATGGCTTTTAAACCCGCAAGTGGTAGTCACTTGCCGTACAAACAATGCTCTGTTTCTGCAACATTGTATTCTCGAGCTAAACACTGCATGAACATGAAAGAAATTTCAAGAATGATCCAATAATTCCCTAAACCAACACAAACACACACTTGACCAATCCAAGCAAACTCAAGCGTATAAGATTCATAATAAAATATCAAACTTTCCTTTGGCTAGGGTGAGCAAGTTATAAGGATTAATTGGATTATCTACAAAATCATAGTCACAAAAATTGTGTGTGCAAATGCTAATGACTCTTTTACGTCAATAATGTGACTAATTGTTTCAAGTTTCAAACTATGTTTGCGAATTCTATATCAAGCTGGCTTGACCACGACTCTTCAAGTGCAATACACAAAGAGATTACTTCATCATCAAGATTCATATGCAAAACAAGACAAACTTTCATCATATGGGTATTTATCATTTCGAAAACATAGTCAATGAACTCTCCAAAATCCTCTGTTTCATTCACAACGTTTTTATAAAGGAAAACGATGACCGAAGCTCTGATAGACCATCACTAACACAAGTTCAATTACCCTACAAGAGGACCTCTAATTTCGAAACCAAAAAATGCCTAAAAACACAAGTCATCAATCAAACAAGATCATCGAAAGACAGAGCGGTTCTGGTGGCTGACAACTCTGCCTTCTCCATCTCTGCAAGATCATCCATCAGTGACCACTGTAGCTTCAGCTTCGCTAGACTTTCCTCTATCTCTTGGAGCCGGGCCAAACCAGACTTCTCCTTCTCCTTGTTTTCCTTTAGTTGGTCCAGCTTCTTCTCCAGCCAATCAACCTTAAAGCCTGCGTCTTTCAAGTATGTCAGCGCAATGTCCGCTTCCACAAGATCCTCATTGGAGAGTTCCTCAAGTGACTGGCACAACGTCTCTATTAAGCTCAGCAGGAAACTCATACACGCTTGCCTCATTCGTTGGTTCTTTGCTCGGAAATCAGCAGCAATGTCTGGGTGTCTCTCGAATATACGCTTAACAGATTCTACCTGCGAGTCAAAACAGACGCACAAAGAAGATAAATCTAGGTTTCAGGTTAGAGCTTTCTCTCTAATCATAACAATAAAAGATGAATCCTCTTCTTACCTGAGAAGCCAAAACCACAAACCCATTGACATCCATTGTTTCCTTGACAGGTTGAATCTCCTGACGAAGCACATCATTAGAAGTCTCAGCAACAGACGCCAGCACAGTGTTAAACCCCTTCTCACCATTCTCCTCAAAGGGCTTCACTTGGTCTAGAGAAGTTCCATTTCTCGCATTATCACTGGTAACAAGAGATGCAGCCTCGCCATCAACATCTTTTTTAGGTGCATCATCCTTTTCATCATCTAAAGCAGGAGATGAAGCATCATCATCTGAACCCTCTCCAGACGTGTCATCATCATCCGCACTCTCTTCAGATGCATCGTCATCCGAACTCTCTTCAGACGTGTCATCATCGTCCACACTCTCTTCAGATGCATCATCATCATCATCAACATTATTCTCGTCAGTTTCTTGCGCCACTTGGGATTTGACGACAGGTGCATCAGAAGCTTGATATCCTTCTTTGCAACTCTGAGACAACGCAGTGATACTCACAGGTCCCAGTGGCAAAACAGTAGCCGGAAAAACTTTAACTTCAGCGACCACAACGAGGCTGTCATTCACCAGAAACCCTCGACGTTCATCACGAAGTTTGTCAAGCGACAAGAACTTACCAAAACCCCAAATGTTGTTCTTTGCATCGAAACAGCATTGCCCTCCTATCATGTCCAAAACCAAGAAAAAATCGAAACTTTCCATCAAAATTTACTCAACAAATACAGAGAGATTCTACAGGACATAAAACTGAAATCACATGACACGAACCACAGAGCTTAAACGCTAGGAACCAATCAACACACATACCACAATGACAACCCCAAGAAAGAGATTCTTAAACCAAATCAAGAAGCTTTTATGAAAAAAAAATCACCTGATACTTTGATAGGGTTCGTCCAGAGATTACACATAAGACTGAAGGTGAATTGCACGTTTTTTGTCCATCCTGGTGGTGAAGATCCAGGCGCAAGTTCCAGATACAAGGATAAGTAATCGGCATTACTGTATTCACTCGGGTAAGCAGAAAGACGCCTGTACAAATAAACAAGTCAATCTAAAATCAATATTCCACAAAATATGAAAACAAAACTGTTTGATTGAGATCGTTTTGCTATCGTCTTTTTACCAAGCGCAGCCGGCGACGGCGAAGCGGGAAGAGTAGTACGTCTCACCATCCCAAGTCCCATCCTCCCAAGAAGAGATTTTTCTGATAACCCATGTGAATTTCCTCTCATTCATGATGAAGAGTTTATCGACGGAGCAAGAAAAGGTACGAACAATGAGAACCCTAAAGGCTGATTCTGATGCAACAACAATGTGCTTTTCAAATCCAGAATGGTAGGGCTTATGGAAAGAAAGGGGAAACAAAGGCTTTGCCTTTCACCGTATTTATAGCTCAAATTGTTGAAATTCAACCGACCGAATACAACAAACCGAGCCAATTTAATTTTGGTTTAACCTGAAATAACCGAGCCGGACCGACAATATGATGGGCCTAACAAATATTGAAGATCCAAAGTTGAGCCTCTCAAGATCGTTAAGGCAAAAGGTGGTGTTAATTGAGGAAGAAGAAAACTCACCAAGCTTTTTGCTCGTAACTCTTTCTTCTTCCTTCTACTTCGTTTCTCTTCATTCGAGCTTTCTTCCTCTCGCAAATCGTGAAATCAAAGGTAAAATTACTATTACGTAGACTTAGGTTTTTCTCGTTTCTTTTTCGTTCTCTCGTTTTCGTGGATTCTCTCTTCTCGGCGTGGTGATTCATTCCAACACGATTTAACCCCATCATCTAGCTTTCTCGATCCGGACGAATTGATTTGATTAGTAGCTTCCCACTTTTTGTTTTCTGCTGATATCGTAACATTATCTAGCTTTGATTGCCGAATTTGCTTCTGATGTTTTCCTGATGTTTCTCAAATTTTCCTGATTTCCAGAGTGGTGAATCGGAAAAATGTCGTCCGTTGATTTACCTCAAAAGGGTGGGTTCAGCTTCGATCTGTGCAAAAGGAATGAGATGCTTACACAAAAGGGTCTTAAAGGCCCAGGGTTTCTCAAGACTGGAACAACTATCGTTGGGTTAATTTTCCAGGTCTGTGTTTCTCTCACAATACTCCTTGTGTTTGTTTTCATAGCTTTGTGTGTTTTAGCATAGTGTAATTGTTGGATAGTAGTAAGTTCTCTCTTATGACTGTTTGCAAGTTATGGAAGTGAAAAATTGAGTCAAGGTTCAAGATTTATGGGCTAAGATGCAGATTTTAACACTTAGTTAGGAAAGAAGTTGGCCTTTAAGGACTAGTGCTTTGATGTACCACCAAGAGAGTGTTTTTGGATTGAAATTGTGGAGCACAGGCTGTGTTGTAGGCGTATATCAATGGATTGAGCACGTAGTAGCTTCAAGATAACAATTGGATTGCTCTAATTTTTGTGAGAATGTTTGTTGGGAGCATGAAAGTATAAAATTTTGTTGCTTTTTTATTAGCTCTTCATGAATTATGCTATGATGTGTGCCTACGCCCCAGTGTTCTTGATCTTTTCTCTTTCAGATTCTCAATAGATGATTGATGATTTCATATATTTGTTTTGTATAGGATGGTGTGATTCTTGGGGCTGATACAAGGGCAACTGAAGGGCCCATTGTTGCTGATAAGAACTGTGAGAAGATTCACTATATGGCACCAAACATTTACTGCTGTGGTGCAGGAACCGCTGCTGACACCGAAGCAGTAACTGGTATTTGTTAACAACCAACTTTATTATACTGCTGCGCCAAATCAAAGTTTGATTTCTTTTGAAACTCTGTGTAACTCGATCCAAGAACTCAATGCTTAGATACTTTGATTTCTATCTCTCCCTTTTCAGATATGGTCAGCTCGCAGTTGAGGTTACATAGATCCCACACTGGTCGAGACTCTCGTGTCATTACTGCTTTGACCCTTCTCAAGAAACACCTTTTCAGGTATTTTTGATATATCATGACCAGAAACTCGTGTTATCGTTACTAAGAGGCATATGTAGTTTAACCGCTTAAATATCATTTCAGCTATCAAGGTCATGTCTCAGCTGCTCTTGTGCTTGGTGGAGTTGATATCACCGGGCCTCATCTTCATACCGTGAGTTTTAAACTCCTGATCAAATCTCCGAGTCGTAATTATGTTTTCTAGTTCAAGGTTATTGTATTCATCTCCATGCTTTGGTTAACATGCAGATATACCCACACGGTTCCACTGACACTCTACCATTTGCTACAATGGGCTCTGGTTCTCTTGCTGCCATGTCAGTGTTTGAGGCAAAGTATAAAGAAGGTCTAACTGTAAGTACACAGCAGAGACATTTATCCTTATATTTTTCATATTTCTTCTGTATGTATGTTTTATTCTTGACACCGAACCCTGCAGAGAGAAGAAGGAATCAAGTTGGTTGCTGAAGCCATATGCTCGGGTATATTCAACGACTTGGGCAGTGGTAGCAATGTGGATATCTGTGTAATCACAAAGGTTTGACATTCTCCATCTTCCTCTGTGTCTGATTCACACGATGCTTTAGCCTTTTCATCATGTTGTCACTCGTTACGGGTCTGTTTATTACCTGACAGCGGGTGATTGGCCACGAAACTAACAATTAGGATTAGCTATGTCTTTTACCTTTGCGTTGAGACTTACTGTTTGAGATGATTTTGGGGACAGGGGCACAAAGAATACCTAAGGAACTACATGGAGCCAAACCCAAGAACCTATGTTAGCAGCAAAGGCTATTCATTCACCAAGAAAACCGGTGAGAAACTAGTTGATTGTTTCTGGTTTCAATCTTCATAATGTAGTGAAACTTGGTTAACTCGATCAAAAATCTCCTTCTTACTGTTTTGTTTCTCTGTGAAAACAGAGGTTTTGCTCACCAAAATCACACCATTATCTGAGCGAGTCGAAGTTGTAGAAGTGGCTAGTGAAGCTATGGAGGAATGAGTCTCAGTCATGTGACATCACTGTTCTACTTTGTGTCTGCATCACATGATGTCCTGTTTTGTACTCTGTTTACATTTTAAGATAAAAATCAAATCTTAGTTTGCTTTCATCTCGTCTTTAGATTTGGCTGTAACCTATGATAATGGATGAGATTCGGTTTTGCAGTTTATCAGTCTTGAAATTCTCACATATTTTTTTCGTATTACTGAATTCGTATCGAGAGAAACAGAGCATTGATCATCACTTCAAAAAACACAACCAAAATCTATGAAAGCATAGAACCAAAATTACACCATCTACACATAATTAGCTGTAAACTGTTTTCCTTCGAAACGAAACTTGTGTGCTTGTGTTCCTGATAAACTGTTTTCCTTCAACTGTCTCCCCTATTTATAAGTCAATGCCTCTATATCTCTCATATAAAGAAGCAATGTCCAAATGATTCTTTGAATTGCAGTTGCTTTATGGCATTTCAATTATATATATACTTTTCTTTATCATGTGTCTAACGTGATTCAAGATCATTATACTTTAGTTTATGAAATAAATAAATAAAAGGAATATTGATTTATATGAAAGAAGAATCTCTGTAATTCATATAAATCAATATTCCTTTTATTTATTTATTTCCTAGACTAAAGTATAATGATCTTGAATCACGTTAGACACATGATAAAGAAAAGTATATATATAATTGAAATGCCATAAAGCAACTGCAATTCAAGGAATATTGATTTATATGAAAGAAGAATCTCTGTAATTGAGACTCAATTTCTAATCTGAAACGAAAGAGGATAAAGAAGGTAGTAAAACCAAAAAGGCGATTAAGAAGGCGATTTCCCACCGACCTCCATCTCCACCGGCGTTGGTCCCTGGCCACCGTCGTCGGCAACCCCAATGGCTAAGAAAAAGAAACCTCCCATCCTCGACTCCCCCCTTAGTCCAAATCACCTCCCAAAATCTCGCCCACCCCCTTTTTCAACCCTCCCCTCTCCCATCCAAAAACCCGACCTCACAAATGAGTCCCTGAAATTGGACCAACCAGCGACTTCTATGGCCACTGAAAAGTGCCCAAATCCCACTGACGCTATCCGCCTGGATTCGCCAGCCGCCTCTAGCACCAGCGACACGGTCGTCCTCGACTCCGTAGAGATCCGCTCTCCAGCTTCACAGGCCCCCGCCGACGAACCTGAGAAATCCAGCAAACCCTCCTGGGCGGAAGTCGTGAGCCCCTCAAACAAGAAGATGGTGAAGAAAGGGGAAAATTTCACCCTTGACTCAGGCGAACCCTGCGTCACCATTCCGAACGAAGTCATTACCAGGAATCAACACCGGTGGGAGAAATTTATTCTGGCACAGTTCCATGGCAAAGCACCTTCTCCGGGAGCGCTTCACGCCATCACCAACGGCATCTGGAGTAAAAGGCTTCGCGACATCACTGTTTCGAAGCTTAATGACAGATCCTTTCTTATACGAATTCCCTGCCCGCTAACTCGACAGAGGGTCCTAGCGCAGGGCATGTGGCACATAGAAAACCAGTCGATGTTTGTCGGGAAATGGGAGCCTGGATTAACGCCTGAAATCCCGACATTAATCTCCGCCCCGGTCTGGATTGACTTCCGGAACGTCCCCCTACAGTTCTATTCTGAGGAGGGTCTCGAGCACATTGCAGGGCTTGTGGGAGACCCAGTCAAGTGCCACCCAACAACTCTCAATATGACAAACCTAGAAGTGGCGAGAGTGCTAACCCTGATAGACCCCTCGAAACCCCTTTCGGAGTTTGTCAATGTGCGATTCCAGTCAGGGGAAACTCGGCGAGTCGAGGTATCATCTCCTTGGCTCCCCCCAACCTGTGAGTTCTGTAGCCAGATTGGTCATTCGCTTCGCCGATGCCCCTCCGCTCCGATCACCTGTGCGGGATGCAAATCCACTTTGCACTTCACGGACACCTGCCCACGAGCTAAAAAGAAAACTGATTCCCAGAGAGAAATCAAAGGAAAGGAGGAAAGCGCCACACGGCAAGCGGTTGTCCCCCCCTCCCTACAGGAGAATTTGAAATATAAACCAGAATCGAAGGCGGAAGGCAAAAAGATCATGACTCGGGAATCCCCTGCAACCACGCGGAAACCCAAAGGGCTCTCCTCTAGCAGAAAACCCCCTGTCCCATCCTCTCCGTCTGACTCGGAACTACCCTCCACAGCGCTCTCTGATTCAAGCTCGGGGGACCCTAGCTATTACTCTGAGGAAGATGATAATCCGCAGGATAGCGAGAGGCTTATTGAAGTGGTCTCTAAGCGGCATCAGAAAATCAAAAGGGCGGAGGGGAAGTCACGGGGCAAAGGCCCCAAACATCTCTAAGTCTGATGATAGTCGACTTTTTTTGTTGGAACGTCCGGGGCTTTAACAATTCCTTTAGACGTAGTAGCTTCTATAGATGGCTTAGGCGTAGTAAAGCCTCTTTTGGGTGTATAGTAGAGACTAGAGTGAAGGAGCATAAATCACAGAAGATTCTGAATTCTTCTTTCCCGGGCTGGAGCTATGTCACCAACTATGAATTCTCTGACCTGGGGAGAATATGGGTTCTTTGGGGCTCGAACGTAAGACTCTCGGTTTTTCACAAATCAAAGCAGGCCATCTCCTGCCGGGTGAAGCTGCCTGAGTGCGCTCAGGAAGTTACAGTTACCTTTGTCTACGCAGTTAACAGTCCTACTGGGAGAAGAGAACTATGGGAAGATTTGGTGAACCTTTCTTCTAACCCGGTCACTTCCTCAACTCCGTGGTTAGTCCTGGGGGATTTCAACCAATCTCTTGATCCGGAAGATGACTCCAGGGGGAGCACGAGAATCTCAAGAGGGATGGAAGAGCTTAGAGAGTGCCTGCACCAAGCTGGACTCTTTGACCTCACGTACAGGGGAAACAAGTTCACTTGGTGGAATAACCAAGAAGCCAATCCCATCGTTAAAAAGCTTGATCGTATCCTAGTCAACGGCAGCTGGATTCTTAATTTCCCATACTCCTGCGGTCACTTCGAGGAGAGCCTCTTCTCGGATCATAGCCCAGCTTGTGTCGAGCTCGGTCGCTCCCTTGCGGACAACAACAGACCATTCAAATTCTTCAACTTCATTGCTAAACACCAGGTTTTTTTGCCAAGGATCTCGGCGGCATGGGAGGAGCTTCGCTTCGAGGGGACGAAACTGTTCTGTCTGGTTAAGAAGTTGAAAGCGCTTAAGAGTATCATCAAAACCATCAACCGTGAGCAGTATTCAAATCTACAGCTGAGAGTTCTGGAAGCGCTTGACAAACTCACCATCTGCCAGCGCAACCTCCTCTCCTCCCCAACGCCCGCTATAGCTGCTCTAGAAAAAGAGGCTCACAAAGACTGGATGGACCTTGCCGTTGCGGAGGAGCTCTTTCTGCACCAACGCTCACGAGTAACTTGGGTTGAGTGTGGCGACAGGAACACAGCATTTTTCCACCGTTACATGGCAGTTAGGCGATCAGCTAATCAGATCCACTACATCCTCGACAGCTCGGGTGTTAAGCACGAAACAATTCAGGAGATCCAACGTTGCTGTGTGGACTTCTACAGCAATCTTCTAGGCGAATATCAGGCCCCCCTCACGGAGTCGAATATGGAATCCATTGGCGCCCTTACTCCGATTAGATGTGATCCTGCAACAAAGGAGATGCTCTCTGCTCCAGTTTCTGCAGCGGATGTAAGGAGAGAACTCTTCTCCCTCCCTCTCAATAAATCCCCGGGGCCCGATGGATACACTCCTGAATTCTTCCGTGCCGCTTGGGATGTTGTAGGGGAAGACTTCACTCAAGCTGTTCTTGAATTTTTCTCCTCTGGTCAGATGTTGAAGCAAATCAACTCCACGATCCTCGCCCTGATTCCCAAGCATCCCGGTGCAGATCAGTTAAAAGACTTCAGGCCAATTTCGTGCTGCAATACGGTCTATAAGGTTATCTCCAGAATCCTTGCGAGACGGCTGCAAGCAATTCTGCCGAATATGATCTCCAACACTCAGTCTGCTTTTCTGAAAGGGAGACTCCTCGTCGAGAATGTACTTCTAGCAACTGAGCTTGTCCAAGGGTCTAATCATAAGAACACCTCGAAAAGAGGTCTGCTGAAAGTGGATATTCGGAAGGCTTTTGACTCAGTTCGATGGGACTTCATCATCCAGGTTCTCCGGGCAGCTGAGTTCCCTCGCTCTTTTGTGAACTGGATCTCACAGTGCCTCACCACCACCAGCTTCTCAGTGTGTATCAACGGGGGTCTCTGCGGCTATTTTAAAGGAACGAAGGGTCTGAGACAAGGTGACTCCCTCTCCCCATACCTCTTTGTTATGGCAATGGAAGTCTTTGACTGCCTTATCAAATCCAAGTTCAATGATGGGATAATCGGTTATCACCCAAAGGCGCATAATCCTAAAATCTCTCATCTCTCCTTTGTGGACGATGTCATGCTTTTCTACGATGGAAAGACAAGCTCCCTGCAGGCCATTATTAGCACCATGGAAGAGTTCTCGGAGCTTTCAGGATTGATAATGAATAAGGAGAAATCTGCTCTTTATGTTGCAGGATTGAACCAGGCGGAAACCATAGAATCCACATCTCTCGGATTCCTCCTCGGTTCACTCCCGGTCAGATACCTTGGACTACCGCTGATGCACCGCAAGCTGAAGAGAGCAGAGTACTCGCCCCTTATTGATGCTCTTAAAAGAAGGTTCACTAGTTGGTCAGTAAAAACCCTTTCCTTTGCAGGAAGGTTGCAGCTGATCTCCTCGGTGGTTTATAGCTCAATAAACTTCTGGTTGGCTGCTTTCTCGCTTCCAAAGAGCTGCCTAAAATCTCTAGAATCGTTATGCAGTAGATTTCTCTGGTCTGGCAGCTTAGAACACCACCGTGGGGCGAAAGTATCATGGCAACAGCTTTGCCTTCCTAAAACTGAAGGGGGTCTGGGGCTCCGGAACTTCTCTCAGTCGAACAAAGTCTTGAATCTGAAGCTCATATGGTTGCTGTTCTCTTCAAGTGGGTCACTATGGCTCGCTTGGATTAAAGAGCACCGCCTGAAGCGCACAAACTTTTGGCAAACGGAAGGAAAAGGTAACTCATCGTGGATATGGAGATTCATACTGCGGTTAAGACCCCTCGCAAAGAGGTTCCTAACCTGTACGATAAACAATGGCAAGAGATGCAGCTTCTGGTTTGATTCCTGGACACCTTTAGGCCCGTTGATGGATTTTGTTGGGTCAGAAGGACCTCGAACCCTGGGCATTCCTCTACAAAGCTCTGTCGCCTCTGCCTGTACCTCTGGTTCTTGGTCTCTCCCCCGAGCTGCTACTCGCAACAGCCTGATCCGGAAGGTTATAGACACCCTCACTACAATTGAGCTCCCAAATCCCGAGAGAGGGGAGGATCTCTACCTCTGGAAAACAGGTAACACACATAGGGATTTCTTCTCCACGGCTCATACTTGGGAGGAAATCAGACCGGTGTCTCCGCCCGTTCCTTGGCACAAAGCGGTGTGGTTCAAAGGCTACATTCCTAAACATGCCTTCACCTTTTGGGTGGCGCAGCTGGACAGACTACCTGTCAGAACAAGGCTAGTCAAATGGGGCCAAATCAACAACGCTTCTTGCTGTCTCTGCAACTTACACGACGAGACCAGGGATCATCTCCTCCTCCACTGTGAGATCTCTATTCAGGTTTGGAAATTAGTTTTCCGACGGCTAGGGGAGCCAACTGTCCTGCTTTTGAATTGGTCGGGACTAGTCTCTTGGATGTTGGACCCTTCTCCTCAGATGCCTCTCATCCTCAAGCTGCTTGCGGCCCACGCCACCATCTTCTCTATCTGGAAGGAGAGAAATTCGCGGCTACATGAGAGTACTTCTCATACGGTGGACCATGTGTTCAGGCAAATTGACAGATCAATACGGGATTCAATCTTGGCGCGAAACAGAACCAGGAACTCGGATCTCCTATCCTCCTGGTTCGCTTTCGAATGAAGACTCAGCTCTCTCTATTATTTCTGCTCCTCGCTAGCGGCTATTATGTAATTGGTCGGGCTTTTTATCTTTTTTTGGGCTCATCCTTTTCACTCTAGTCACCAAACTCTTGTAATCGGAACGTTTGTTTGGTAATTATATTCACATTTTATCAAAAAAAAGAATCTCTGTAATTATGGAGTAATTCAATAGGCAAATGACTCGATTTTCATTCAAATTAAGTTATCCGTTAGTTTTGATTATCAAAATAGGTAATCTAATGTTCCAAGACAAGCTGGATTATAAAATGTACGTACTAACCAAAAATAGAATAATTCATCTCTTATTCCTGTTTTTTTTTTTCTTAATATACACAAGAAATTAAACAAAAAAGAGAAGCTAAAACTTTTCCAACATAGCAACCATGGATAAAATGGATTTACTATGCCCCTCTCATCAATTTTCTCCTCTAAAGCCTACAAAAATCTCATCAAAGATGGCAATGACAACTAGGGCCGTGCCCACCCTTTGGGTTTTGAGGCTTTCGCCTACTGTCCCATTTAAAAAAAAACAAAAAATAATAAAACTTTAATTATTGTTTATAAGTATAGTTAATCCCAAACAGTAAAGTTAAATCGAAAACATTACATTTATTTTTAAACACAAAAATAATTATTAAAAATAGGAAAAAAATAAGAAACTAAAAACAAGATTAGGTTAGGGTTCGTGACAACTTTTTTTTCTTTTGCCGTCGTCTTTACACTTCATTCAAGAAAAGATCAGGAACCCAGTTTATCAAACATCATCAATTCATTGTTAGAGTGAGTTTAATCAATTTTATTTCTTTGTTTTTATTTAGTTCTTAATCACTTTTAACATCCGTAACATTATATTCTAAATTTATAGATGCCACCAATTCATAGATCGCTTATCCAGTATTGTTGACTATTTCAGTCTTTATTGCATCTACTATAAGAAGTTTTTCAAAGTTCGAATACATCACAAGAAAGATTGAGTGATTTGATGATTTTATCAATTAAAAGAGAGCTGGTTAGAGAAGTTGATTTTAAAAGATTGGTTAATGATTTTATGGGGAAAAAATGAAAAAGAAATGCGTTTTGAACTACTGTAGTATTTGGTTTTTTTTTTCAATTATTATACGATAATATTTATTTTGCTAGATATTTTCAATTAATTTTTATTATTATATATTTTGATCTTTTGTATGAATTAATTTTTTTTGTATGATTAAAAAAAAAATATATTGTCTATGACATCAAACTACCTTGGCATGGCTCTGATGACAACAAGCAAAGTTACGAGTGTGATTTCTGCTTTTTCTTTGTGTTCACGAGGAATGTATCAACGTCAACAATCCTTCTCGTCATAAACACCCTCTCAAACTCACAAGCCATAGCAAGGGTCATTATGAATCATGCTCTCTATGTGGATGTTTTGACAGTCCGACTTATCAATGTTCACGATGTGCTTTTCGTATTTGTAAGCAATGTTCAAGATACCCTTTGACCTTTAACGAAGCTATGGCCCACGAGCATGAACTCCACCAAATACCGATCAAGATCGCCTTAACATGTGATGCATGTGGGTTGTGCAGTTCAGACTTCCCGTGTATCTGTCATCAATGTTGTTTCATAGTCCATAGAGCATGCATCTCCTTACCACGTGTTATACAGATTAATCGCCACGACCATCGCATCTCTCGTGTTTCCTCTCTTGGGCCGGGGAAGTGGATTTGTGGGGTATGCCGTGAGCTTGTTAATGGAGATCAGTGTGGAGTATATTCTTGCATGATTTGCTCTTATGTTGTTCATTCGAGGTGTGCAACACGTCCTCACATTTGGGATCGGGTAGAACTCGAAGGGATCGCCAAAGAAGAAGAAGAAGAAGGTAGGCCATTCGAAGTGATAGATCAAAACCTAATAAACATTTTAGCCATGAACACAATCTGAGGATGTCAATATCATCACTAAGACTCGAAGAATGCATCAACACCAAGATTCCTATGAGTGTGAATTCTGCGATTTCTATGTCCACGAGGAATGCATCAACACCAAGATTCCTTCTCGCCATAAACATCCTCTCAAGCTCACAAGGTATGACATAAGTTTTGAATCATGTTGTCTATGTGAAAGCAATCTGGCACTGTTGTATCAATGTTCACAATGTGATTTTTGTATATGTATCCAATGTACGAGAAAACCTCTCATCTTTAACCAAGCTAAGAAGGCCCACGAGCATGAACTCCACCAAGTCCTGATCAAGCTCTCCTTCACATGTGATGCATGTGGGCTGTGCAGTACTGGCTACCCATGTGTTTGCCATAAATGTTGTTTCATAATCCATAGAGCATGCATCTCCGTACCACATGTCATATACATCAATTGTCACGACCACCGAATCTCTCATGTTCCCTCTCTTGGCCCGAGGAAGTGGATTTGTGGAGTATGCCGTGAGTTAGTTAATGGAGAGTGTGGAGCATATTCTTGCTTGATTTGTTCTTATGTTGTTCATTCAAAGTGTGCAACAGATCGATTCATTTGGGATCAGAAAGAACTCGAAGGTGTAGCCGAAGAAGAAGAAGAAGAAGAAGGTAAGCCATTCGAAGTGATAGATCAAAACCTAATAAACATTTTAGCCATGAACACAATCTGAGGATGTCAATATCATCACTAAGACTCAAAGAAGGTAAACATTGCTATGCACGCACCTGCACTCTTCCTTTTAATCTTGAAAAGTGTTACAAATGTACAAAATGTGATTTCATGCTTCACCATGCATGTGCTAATCTCCCTCTAAGAAAAAGGCACCCGATTAGCAACGTAAAACTTACTTTGTGTGCCAGAGTTCAACACGACAACTATTTTGCTTGTAGTGCTTGTCTACGTCATTGCACCGGTTTATCATATACTGCATATAACGCCATCATCGATGTGCGTTGTGCTTCAATATCTGATGCATTTAAACATGAAAGCCATCCACATTGGTTGTTCCCATTCACATATGGTAGGAGACTCATTAGGTGTGAAGTTTGTGACTCGTTACAATGGGTGCATCTACGTTGTTTTGATAAAGATGATTGTGGCGGCTTCAGTATATGCCTCACATGCGCTACTCTACCAACACTGGTAAGACACAAATACGATGATCATCCTCTCTTCTTATGCTATGGTGAGGAAAATGTGAATTCAGCATATTGTTGCGGGATATGCGAAGAGGAAGTATCCCCAAAGAGTTGGTTTTATGGGTGCAGTGATTGTGGCTCTACTCTTCATACTAAATGTGTATTTAAAAATCTAATACACCCAAGATCTGGATACAATTTAGTGATACATGGCAAGGGAACATTTGATTTGCTTCCTAACAATAATCTGTCTCGGCCGGTTTGCTATGTATGTAAAACTCGTTGTATCACTACAAGAAAACAGCCCTTTTGCGTCGGAAATTTGCGACGGCGAATGGTGGTCGCAATTTACGACGCGTTTGTGATGGATTTGCCAGAGAAAAATAGTATCTCGTTAATCCGTCGCAAATTGCGACATCAATAGCCCGTCGTAAACCGACCGCAGCTTTGCGACGACATTGCGACGAACTTGCAATCGATAGGGGTAATTGCGACGAACAAACAAGGCCGTCGCAAAGTACGTTGCAATTTGCGACGGGAAAGAAATTCAGTCGCAACTTTGCGACCAACTTGCGACGAATTTGCGTGGATACTCAAAGTAGGTGAACCACGTTTTACTCCCTTTCCATCGGCCTAAGTAGTTAGGTACGGAGTCGCAAATCAGTCGGTTCTGTGTCACAAATCCATCGCAAATTACTCGCAATATATTATGATGTCGCAAATCTGTCGCATTCGTCCGTCGCTAGACCGTCGCAAAATTTCTGAATGTCTATAAATAGCCTTCGAGAGTTAGTGAAACAATCACAACAGAAAGAAAGAAAGAAAGAAAGAAAGAAAAAAAGAAAGATAAAGAAAAAAATCTTATAATTTTCAAAAAATAATTAAGAAAAAGATAGATTTTAAAAAAGAGAGAAAAGAGAAGTGAGAAAGAAATATTGAGAGAATGTCTTCAGAGCATAGCATATATGCGTTACGATCGTGGATGTACAATCATCGAGATCTGGAGACCGGCGAGGTGACGAAAGAGTTTCGGGATGGGTTTCGAGCATTCTTATATCAGGCGACAAACCAATCATTTGCAAGGGAAAACGGTAAAATATTATGTCCATGTAGGAAGTGCAAGAATGTGCCATATTTAGAAATTGATACCGTGAAGAAGCATGTATATAATAGAGGATTTATGCCAAACTATTATGTATGGTTTTTGCATGGGGAAGATAGTAGTGTTGCTACGGTTGGAAGTAGTAGTACGGGTCAGAGTTTAGAGCAGCCCAATTATAATGTTGATTATGAACATTATGGGCAAAATATGTTTGGAAATGTAGATGAAGGGTATCAACAAGGAAATAGGTTTCATGATATGGTTGTAGATGCAATGCATGAAGCTCCAGCAACCTCATTTGTTGATAATATTAGGGAAGAACCCAACGTAGATGCAAAAAGGTTTTATGATATGTTAGATGCTGCTAATGAGCCTATCTACAATGGATGTAGAGAAGGGCAGTCAAAACTGTCATTGGCATCTAGGATGATGACAATTAAAACTGATAATAATCTCTCTGAGGTTTGCATGGATTCGTGGGCTCAACTTTTCAAAGAATACCTACCGGCTTATAATCTTTCTGCTGAGAATTATTATGAAATACAGAGGTTGGTTGCGGGTCTTGGCTTACCATCAGAAATGATTGATGTATACATTAATTGCATGATATTCTGGAAAGACGACGACAAGCTGCAGGAATTTAGATTTTGTGGGAAGCCGAGATATCAAGAAACTACTGGAAGAACTCGGGTTCCATACCAACATATGTGGTACCTGCCAATCACTGAAAGATTGAAGCGGTTATACCACTCAGAAAGGATGGCGTCGGCAATGAGATGGCATGCAGAACATTCCACAGAGGATGGAGAGGTTACACATCCTTCAGATGCAAAGGCGTGGAAGCACTTTCAAATGGTATATTCAGACTTTGCTAGTGAGGTTAGAATTGTCTACCTTGGTTTATGTACTGATGGATTTACTCCATTTGGTATGTCTGGGAGACAATATTCTCTATGGCCTGTCATCTTGACACCATACAATCTTCCTCCCGATATGTGCATGCAAAGAGAATTTTTGTTCATGAGTATTCTAGTTCCTGGTCCTAAGCATCCAAAGCGCGCACTTGATGTGTTCTTACAGCCTCTGATTCATGAGTTAAAACAGTTATGGCATTTTGGTGTTCGCACATTTGACAACTCACAGCAACGGAACTTCAACATGTGTGCAGTGTTATTGTGGACTATCAGTGACTTTCCAGCGTATGGAATGTTGTCAGGGTGGACTACGCATGGAAGATTATCTTGTCCATATTGTCTGGATAGTTCAGATGCGTTTCAACTAAAGAATGGAAGAAAGCCATGTTGGTTTGATTGTCATCGTAGATTTCTGCCGGTGAGTCATACATACCGGAACAACAAGAGGTTATTTAGGAGGAACAAGGTTGTGCGTATCCCTCCCCCCGTTTATCCAGCAGGCAATGAATTGTATGAGCAAATTGAATACTATGGTGCGCAGGAAACATGTAAAGTAGGGGGAAATTGGCACACACCAGCTAACATGCCTGACGGATATACTGTATCTCATAATTGGCATAAAAAGAGTATCTTCTGGGAGCTTCCGTATTGGCAGAATCTCCTCTTACGACACAATCTTAATGTGATGCATATCGAGAATTTTTTTTTCGATAACATTGCCAATACAATCTTGAATGTCAAGGGAAGGAGCAAAGACAATTTGAAGTCAAGGTTGGACTTGCCTGAACTATGTGTAAGACCTGAGTTGCATATTACAAGCGAGGGAAAATTACCTGTTCCAAACTTTCGATTGTCCGGAGAGGCAAAGCGGGCATTATTGGAGTGGGTTGATTCTGATGTTAAGTTTCCAGATGGATATGTGTCCAAATTCTCAAGATTGAGCAAGGCCAGAAATTTTCAGGCATGAAGAGCCATGACTGCCATGTATTCATGCTACGACTGCTACCGTTTGCACTAACCGAGCTCTTGCCAAAACAAAGCCATGAAGCTATTGCAGGTAAAATAAGTAAAAAAATTATATAATGTTCTTTTTATAAGTGATTAAGACTATTAATTAACGCTTATTTCTGTAAGTTATTAACTATATATATATATCTTCATATAGGCATTGGAGCTTTTTTTAGGGATTTATGCACCCGGACATTGACTGAGGAGGGCATCGCCCAACTGGAAGAGAATATCGCCGTGTTGCTTTGTAACCTAGAAAAGGTTTTCCCTCCTTCATTTTTTGATGTCATGGAACATCTGCCAATCCATCTACCATATGAAGCAGCACTCGGGGGGCCTGTGCAATTCCGATGGATGTACCCGTTTGAGCGATTCATGGGACATCTTAAAAGGAAGGCTAAAAATCTTGCTAAGGTGGAGGGATCGATTGTTGCGGGAAGTTTAACCGAGGAAACTTCTCACTTCACCTCATACTACTTCAGTCCAACGTTGCGGACAAAAAAGACCGCCACCAAGCGATAGGATGATGGAGGGGAAGCACCGACTTATCATATTGATGTGCCAGATATGTTTGCTCAGATAGGCAGACTTGCTGGAAAAGTTAAGGAAGTTTGGTGGGAGGATATTAATCATTGTCGTGCGGCTCATAATTATATATTGCGGAACTGTGAGTATATACAGCCGTTTGAAAGGTATAAGTTAATAACTTAATAAGTACATTCTTTAATTATATAATATTACAATATTTGCTCGAACTGACTCTTGAGTACAATTTAGGTTATTCGACTCTCAGGTTCGAGAACATTATCCTGGCTTAGAAGAGAAAGAGTACGAGAAGTTAAACGAACGTGATTTTGCTGGGTGGCTTAAATACTTTGTACGTAAGATCGACATATTTATATATATGTTATGTTGTTGCGAATGCGTTGGATTAACTAAGTAATATTTCCAGGTTAAGCATTGTTCGACTGAGCCTTCTCCACTATGGTTGCACGAACTTGTAGAGGAACCTATAGCAAAAATTGTTTCTGCTCCTATGTACTTTACCCGTGGATACATATTTCATACATATAAACATGGGTCAAAGAGGTCAACCGCCAATTATGGAATCCATGTCAAGGGTGAAACTGACTACTACGGCATATTACAAGACATAATCGAAGTCAGATATCCAGGAACCATTAATTTGAGATGCATACTATTCAAATGTGAATGGTATGATCCGAGTGCTCGAGGGGTCCGTGCGAACAACTTAGGAGTGATCGACGTAAATGCAAACACACGTTTTTCAAAGTTCGAACCCTTTTGTCTGGCCTCGCAAGCGGAGCAAGTGTGTTTTATTCCTTACCCTCGGATTAAAGTCAAACACGAAAGATGGTTATCAGTGATAAAAGTGAATCTGCGAGGCCGTATTGTCGCGCAAACAGATGATGTCGCAATGCAAGCTGAAAGAGTAGATGCAATCTCCATGCCAGTCGTAACAACAGAACAGATTATACATGTTGATCCACAAAGCAGAGAGATTGATGAGGACATCGTCGATGATTCAACAGAAGGCATAGAATCAGACGAGTTTGATGAGACCGATGAAGCAGAAGACAGTGATGAGGATACTTCAGAGGACGATCAATCTGAATGAACTCTGTTTCATATGTTGTATTTTTAATATTTTGTAATTTTTTTAAAAAATCACTAAGTTTTTAAATATTTCGTAATTTTTTTTAAAAAATTACCAAGTGATTTTGCGACGGCCTTGCGAGGGTGCCGTCGCAAACGCGTCGCAAGTTGACACTTTGCGACGAGTTTGCGACGTATCCGTCGCACTACTGTCGCAATATTACTTGGTTAATCCAACGCATTCGCGACAACATAACAGATAGTACATGTTTATCCACAAAGCAGAGAGTGTGAGCAAAATTGCTAAGTGATTTTACGACGGGATTGCGAGTGGGCAGACGCAAAGCCTTCGCAAATTGTCAGTTTG